CTGTGTCCTTGTTTGAACAGTACGTGGAACGGTGTCCTGTACTAGGATTCTGAGCCTACTTTTGGGGTGTGACTTGTTTAAGTGCTTCGAAGACATGTTCTCACTTGGCTTTGATGAGAAGGGTAGTGGAATCTGTCTTTCAGATATTGTCACTTGGGCCTTGAGTGAAGCTTCCCTTCACTTCAGAGGACAGGCACCTGTAAGAGCAGAGGGCTGGGGCCTCACTGAGCCCTCTGAGCTTCGTGTCTTGGGCCCGTTCTTGGTGGTGAAAGCCACCAGAGGTCTGCATTCCTTGTGAAGTGCCACCTAGGAGGGGTGGGGGGATCTGACTGTCCCCACCGCTGATTGTTGGAGACTCCCCATGGCTACCTGCAAGAACTAGAGATTGTGAACTACAGGTGTGCCTTCCACCGGCCTTCATACCTGGGTTTTCCTTCTGCGGTTGTCAGATGTCCTGTCTGCTACCAACACAGTGCACGGGACTGAGCCCCACCCAGTGTGTTCCTCGGAGGGAGGGGTGATGGGTCCTGATTGCGGCCTGAACCGGGGTCCAGAAGGAAGGGTACAGGGCAAAGCTTGGTTCAGAAAGCTCTATGAAGAATCATCTGGGGACCTGGTACTGGTTTACTTCTGGGAAGTGTCCCTGCGGCTTGGTCAGGAGGTTTTTCTACTGCGTCTCTGCCCTGGAGCTTGTGGGCTCGAGTATGGAGAGCCAGGGCTTAGGCTTTCCTGAAGCCCCCACCAACACTCAGCAGAATAGGTCTGATTGACCTGTTTGCAGACAACAGAGCTGGTGAAAACCCACTTGTGGAAGAGTGTGTGCAGAGATTGGTGGAAAGGCTCTGCAGGAGGTTGTACAGGCTGCCTTTGGTAATGGGAGGTATTGTGTTGGGGGAGGGGAGAGGAGAGCATGTTAGGCAGGGGTGGGCATGGTGGGCACAACTCCAAGCGCCAGGACTGCTGAGATGACACACTTTGTGCCTCTTTACCAACTATGGTCACTGCAAGCCACAGGGAGGAGGCTGAGTGCCCTGAAGGTGTGTGTGTGTGTGTGTGTGTGTGTGTGTAGGTGACTGAGAGAAGGTGTTAGAGTGTTTCTATGCTTGTGAGTGCATGCGTGGGCACGCGTATGTGCATGAGTATATGTGTATATGTATGTATATGTAGATATGTATGTGTGTATTTGTATGTATGTGTGAGAATTAGAATGTGTTTTGTGTGTATATGTGTGTATAGAGTGTATGTTACAGAACGGGTGTGAGTGAGTGCAAATGTGTGGGTGTATGTGTAAATCTATATGTGTGAGGGAGTGTGTATGTGTGCATATGTGTGTGAGTGAGAGTGTGTTGGGATTTGTGAGAGAGTGTATATCTGTGTCGTAGTTACATAATCATGTGTCAACCTGAGGATATTATGAATGAAGGGGAGGAGTTTAGCCTGTCAATCAGGTCACAGCCTAGTAATCCCTCCTTGTGGGTGTGGCCTTCTCATGAAGCTTCTGGGAGCTTTCCTTTGACTCTCTTCCTCTCTGGGGGTGGGACACACACTCCCTCTGCTTCACAGTCCTGTTGACAAGCCACATGGAGCTATGCTGATCGCAATCAGAGGTGTGGAACTGGAGGAGTCACGTGGAGACCCACGCCAGTGTTGAGATGCTTCCACCACCACTGGATCCACAAGACTTTCTACTCATAGGCCTGTTATTGTCCTGCATTCAGCGGCATCATTGCACGTGCTGCGTGAGTCTGAAGAGGAATTCATAGACTAGTGTCAGATAGATGGACTAATATGAGACATATGGACTTGATCCGGACTGGACTGGGATGTGTTCTCAATACATAATTGCTCTTTGATATAAAGCTCTTTCTTACACACATACGAATGTCCCTGGATTTGTTTCTATAGTCAACCTGGCCTAATCCAAAGTGTGTGCCTGTGGGTGTATGAATGTGTATATGTGTGCCTGTGGGCGTATGAATGTGTATATGTGTGCCTGTGGGCGTATGACTGTGTATGTGTTTAAGAGTGAGCATGTGTGAGAGCATGTGTGTCATGTTAGGGCGCACACGAGTGTGTGTGAGTGAGTGAATGCATGTGTGTCGTATCAGAGTTAGGCAGGTGGCCAGTCTTTGGTACCCGGATAGGAGTTCCTGCGCAGACCTCACAGAGATGTTCACAGCCCAGGATGAGGCCGCCCGCTGGAGAAACACAGCTGACTCCGGGCTCCCAGAAACTTCCCAGTCAGTGACTGGGCGGACAGCCCAAGGCTGTGGGATCTCTCTGACCCTTCACTCCTCTGGGACCTGTGCTGTGGGAGCCACACAGGCCTCCTGCTGGGTCTGACTCAGTAACCCCTTGCCCTCCAGAATGGCTCCTCCTCCCCTCCTCCTTTTCTGTTCCTTTCAGCACTTGCACAGGGGCTCCCAGCCAGGCCTGGTTGGAGGTCTGGTTTAGTGGTTGCTGAGGTTGTCTGTCTCCCATCTAGGTCAGCAAACCAGACCCGGTCCTTGTTCCTTATCTCCAACTCCTGCATCTCTAGCTCCTAGCACATAGTGAGTGTTGAGAAGTGCTTATCGAAGGAAGGGAAGGAGGGAGGGAGGGATAAGGGTGGGGAGGGAGGAAGGAAGGAAGGAAGGAGGGAGGGAGGGAGGGAAGAAGGGAGTCAGTGGAAACCTCACATAATGATGGCAGTCCCGCCAGCACTGTGAGTCATCAGATAAACCAAGGCCAAGTGAGGACTCAGGCAGTGTGAGCAGCACGGGTGCCACCTTCTGAGACCTGGCTTCTTCAGGTAGCTCCACATCGCTGTATTCTCTCCATAGACCCAAATGATCCCACCCCGTGAGCACCAAGGAATGGACAGACCACACACAAGCCAAGCCAAGCCAGTTGCCGCCGCGCTGATTTTAAGTCTCGGAGACCCGTTGTTTGTCACAGCAGAGCTGTGGCTCCATGAGGTTTTCTCCTCTTTTTTTTTTTTTTTTTTTAGGTATTTATTTGTTTTTATTTATTTTGGGGGGCTTCACTTTTTATTTTATTTTTCTGTTGTTTTTTAATTTTAATAGAGCATTTTATTGGGGGCTCTTACAGCTCTTATCACAATGCATCCATCCATTGTGTCAAGCATATTTGTACAGATGTTGCCATCATCCTTTTCAAAACATTTTCTTTCTACTTGAACTCCTCTGTTTATTCCCTTCCCTCCCCGCCCTCCCACCCTCATGAATCTTTGATAAATTAGAAATTATTTTTATTTTCTTATCTTACACTGTCTGCTGTTTCCCTTCACCCACGTTTCTGTTGCTCCTGGTTGATCATTTCTACCAGCTACACCTTTCTCTCTCCACCTTCCCCTACCCTCACAGTACCACTACTCCCATTATTGTTCCTGAGGGGTTTATCTGTCTTGGATTCTGTGTCTTGAGAGCCTTCTCTGTACCAGTCCAATTGCTCTGGTCTAGCCAGATTTGTAAGGTAGAACTGGGGTCATCATAGTGGTGTGGGTTGGGGGGAGGAAGCATTAAAAAACTAGAGGAAGGTTGTGTGTTTCGTTGGTGCTATACTGCACCCTGACTGGCTCCTCTCTTCCTTGTAGCCCTTCTGACGGGGGGTGTCCAATTGACTACTGATGGGCTTTGGGTTTCCACTCTGCACTCCCCCTCATTCAAAATGATATGCTTTTTTTGGTTTTTTTTTTTTTGATGATGCCTGATACCTGATCCCTTCGACACCTCGTGATCGCACAGGCTGGTGCGCTTCTTCCATGTGGGCTTTGTTGCTTCTCAGCTAGATGGCTGCTTGTTTATCTTCAAGCCTTTAAGACTCCAGATGCTATATATTTTCATAGCTGTACACCATTAGCTTTCTTCACCACATTTGCTTATGCACCCATTTTGACTTCAGCTATCGTGTCAGGGAAGGTGCGCATCACAGAATGCCAGGTTATTAGAACAAACTGTTCTTCCATTGAGGAAGTACTTGAGTAGAGGCCCAATGTCCACCTGCTACCTTAATACTTAACATATAAATATATGTACACAGATCTATATCCCTATCATTATATAAAATTTAGTTACATATGTACATGCCTGTATTTAATACCTCTAGGAATGTCCTTTGCCTCCTAGTTCTTTCCTCTATTTCCTTTTACTTTCCTCCTGTCCCACTATCATGTTTGACCTTCATTTGGCTCTATGTAATTCCTCTTGGCTACATTGCAATTGATCAAACCCCACCAGGCATTCTATGCTCTCCTCGACATCAATTTTAGATCACTTGTTGTTCCCATGTCCCTGGGTTTGTTTCCCCATCCCCTCCTCATCCCGTTCCCCTTCCTTGTTGGCCCCATCGTTTTCTCCTTGGGATTGTTTATCCTGCCTATGTTACATAGATAGATATGTTTGGGGGCGGGGGAGCCTATATATAGTTCCAGGTATGTCTGTTGACCTTTATGAATGTTTTCCAATTGAGTCTGATGATGTCCCAAACCCTGCCCCGTAGTCTATACCTGATGCTGTCGATGCCTCGACAAGATTTTTGTTTTCAATTATTTTCTGTTAAAGCCATTTTTGTTTTTCATATTTCCCCCCTCTTTCTCTTTCTTTTCACAACAGTTTTATTGACATCTAATTCACATGTCATGCAATTGAACAATTCAGTCATTCAATCAAGGGGAGCAGTACAATCAACACCACCTCTATCTTAGAGTTTCCCGCTGCCCCACCCCAGGAGGTTTTCGGTAGCTGTGGCCTTTTAGAAGAAGATCATCAGGTATTTTTCTCTTCAAGTGCTTCTGGGGCACTCACATCATCACCCTGTTTATTAGCAGCCAAAGCCTTTAGCGTTTGCATGCCCCAGAGACTCCTGACCTAAGCCAGCCAGCAGTAGTGCATGACACGAGGTGCTGGGGAGAAAAGGCACTGATTGGGGGACGAAGGTGACCAAGGCTTTGGATAGTGACCAGAGCTCAGGAGTGGTGTCCCCGGCAGTGAACACGGCTGCTAAGGTTTAGTGGGATCGTCCACTTTCCCAATGAAGAGGAGGTTGTTGGAGTCTCCAGGCAAGATCAGCATGAAAAAGGGTCTATTGAAACTGAGGGGCGTGAAGGGTTTCTCCTTGGCCCGGACCGGGAGCTTGGTTTCGGTGGCCGCTGCGGCCTCTGTGCCCACCTCGCTGACATCCAGCACAGCCTTGTGGGTAGCCTGTCAAAGGAGAAGTGAATGTTAGCCATCTCCGTGGGGACATCTTTGCACATCTGAATTTGGGCACGTTGTACAGGATGTCACCACCTACCTTGGGAGAAGAATCAACATTCTAAGCCCAGATTCTTGGCCTTACTTTGGGGAATAAATTGTAGTTGCTGTTGCTACCAGTCATGTGTTAAACAATGGAACTGGAGGTTGGTCTCGAGCATTGGGCTATCTTTTTAAGGTCTCTCTTTTCTGGTGTGATGGACAACAGCCACTTGGAAAGAAGAGCTAGGAGCATTCAGGGACAGTGAGTTTCTGGTTAGGTGGGGGAGGGTCAACTCTGAAAAGGAAAGACACTTGAAGAGTGTCCTCAGTGTCACTGGGTTATCCATGTCGACTGTTGAACTGGTTTGTGTGCTGCTGGGTATGTGCTTGACCACAATACCCTTGAAAGTAAAGTGCATGTTTGTTTGCCGTTCTAAACAAGGAAGAAGACATTTAAATTGTATTTAGCATGAGTAGAGATCCGAATAATAGTGCTAGAAAAGGCAGTTATGGAAGCTGTGTGTGCCCGGTTGAGGGAATGATACCAGGAACATTCAAACCATGCTTCAGATCAAGGATGCTGTGATTTCTGGCTGAGGTCAAAGGAAGGTAATGGGAAGTCAGGTACAAGTCTAACTGGCACAACTTCAAAGTTATCATTTCCTTTTCTTCCAAGGTGGCAAAAACTACAGCCATGAGGAAAGCTGGGATTGAATTCTTTGTTGTTGTTGTTGTTGATTTTCAATTTCTGATTTTATGTAATTATTAAGATAATTTTTTTATTTTATCTTTTTATTAGGGGCTCATACAACTCTTATCACAATCCATACGCACATCAATTGTGTAAAGCGCATTTGTACATTCATTGCCCTCATCATTCTCAAAACATTTCCTCTCCACTTAAACCCCCGGCATCAGGTCCTCATTTTCCCCCTCCCTCCCCGCTCTCCCCTCCCTCGTGAGCCCTTGATAATTTATAAGTTGTTATTTTGTCATATCTTGAATTCTTACAAGGACTGGAATTTGGTGATTTGCTATAACACCCAATTTTAGGGAAAAACAACAAGGGACAGAGCAGAATGACTATAATTACAGAAAGTCCTAGATTTGAGCTCCAGGTCCACCCTGTGTTGTTGGAACCAGCATAGAGACCATGTGCCTCAGTGTCCAAATCTCTAAAAGGGTGGTGACAATAGTATGTAACCCACAGGGTTGTTTGGCGAATAAAACCAGGCCACACACAGCAAGTTCCTACACACTTGTTAGCAATAACAATGGCTACTGTTATTGGATGGGACAAGGCTGGGCATTCCTGAACATTGGATCCCTTCTTTGGCTTCTGGGGAACGAGTCTTAATCTGGGCTTATGTGCTCCTTTCTGAGTTTAAGGAGCTAGGGGCACCTTGAGAATACAGGCACGGCTGTCCCTATACTCACAAAACATTCTGCTTGGTGTCCCTGCAAAATCTGTGCTAGAATCGAAATCCCCAGGCCTGTGGAACTTGGGTTTCTCTGTTAGCTTCATGAGGCCCCATCTGATATTTGACATATAGAGTGGGGGAGCCAAAAAGCAAAACTGGTGGATTGAGGACAGGGGATGGCATCTTGTGACATCATAGCCGCACAAAAAAGAAAGGGCCCAAATGTTCATCAGCTGATGAATGGATAAACAAAATGTGGTCAGTTCATACAATGGAGCATTGTTCCCCCTATAAACAAGGAAATGTAGCTGTGTGCTGTGATATGAAAGGACTTTGAAAGCATTGTGCTAAGTGAAAGAAACTAGACACAGAAGTCCACATGCTGTGTGATAAGAAATGTCGAGACTAGGAAACTCCTTAGAGAAGGCAGAGTAGCTGTTGGCAAGGCCTGGAGTGAGAACCGCAGGAGGGACTGCCCTCGAGCAGGGGTTCCTTGAAGGTTGGTGAAAATGGTCTGGACTAACATCGCAGTGATGGTTTTCCATCCTTGTTAACATAGTAAAAGCCACGGAAATGATTCATTTCAAATGGCCTGTGATTCATATTTTAAAAATAGAATTCAGCTAAGTGAAACAAAATACTTAAAGGAACGGAAACTTAGTAGGGGATCAATGTCTATCCGTTGTCGCTCCCTTCTCTTCCTCCTTAGAGCCTGGATGGGTGTAGATGGGTGGATGGAGGACAGTGGATGGATTCACGCATGGATGGATGAGAAATGAATGCAGAGATGAATGACCTTGTGAATGAATGAATGAGTGAATGAGTGGATGGATGCGTGCATGGCAGATACAGTACTATCTACTGTAACACTACCTGGGGGGCCCAGGCACTTAATCTGCATGCATACATTATGAAGATGGCTTTATCAGCAATGCCCCCTCCCTGAATCTACCTAGCACTGAGATCCGCACATAGCAGGCTTCCGCTCATGGTTCCTCCCGAGCAGCAGGCTCAGGATCACACGAAGAGGCTGCCAGTCTCCAAGGCTGATGTTTCACTACAACGCTCCCAAGCAGAGTCTTTTTAAACCGTTAAGCTCTGAACACATATATGAGAGGTAAATTATAGTTATATAGGTCTCTCTGCACTTCCTGAAGGGGACAGCTAGTGCTAAGTTCTATTACTGAAAGATTCTATAGGCGAAAGAAAAAGGAAAGGAAGTAAAAAAGGAAGCAAGAGAACAATGCAGGAAACATCAAAAGAAGATGGAAAGAATGCAGTGTCTCTACCAGAAATAATTTGGTTGTTGTTTACCATTTCGGGAGGTAGCATATGATCAATAATGATTGGTACTGAAGAAAGACGGTCAAGCTGCACTGACAGCATTGGTGAAAAACAAGGAACTAGTGGACTGCTGACTGAGAGGCTTCAGTAAATGGCTGAAACACCGGCAAACGCTGACCGGTGTATGTGAAGACATTTGGAAGACAGCTACCTTGCTACCAACTGGGAGAGATCTATGTTTGTGCCCATTCCAAAGAAAACCCATCAAATGGAATATGGAGATGGTCAGGCAATGTCAAGAATTTCACCTGCTAGCAAAGTTTCGGCTGAAGATAATTTAAAAAGATGACGGTTGTACATGGATAGGAGAATGCTTGGTTCAGAGTAGGATTTGGGAATGAGGGATGCAATTATTGATGTCAGATGGGTCTCGGCTGAAACAGAGAATACAACTTTCTGTATGGTTCCTAACAAATTATAGTTAACATCGTGAAGGATGGGAATTCCAGAACACCTGACTGTGCTCGTGTGGGACCTGCACACGGATCAAGAGGCTGCCATTTGCACAGAACAAGAGGATACGTGTGTGGTTCACAATTGGAAGTGATGTGTAGCGGGGGTGTGGCTTTCCACCTGATGTCTTCACCTTATAAGTAGTCTGAGAAGGTGGACTATGTGAGGAAGAAGGTAGCATGGGGATTGGAGGAAGACTCATTAACAACCTGGGGGGTGTGTATGGCACAGCCTTGCTGGCCAGAACTCAAGGTGACTTGAATGGGGTGTCATATTTGCTTTAGTAGCAGGCCATTCAACAAAACCACACAATAAAACAGAACTCCCGTGAGATGGTGTGACCCAATAACTGCCCCGTGCACTCAGCTATCTTGAAGGCAGGCAGGAGCGTGCCTTGTGACCCACGACGTCGCGGAGGCAACCCCATTGGCATTTGTAAGTACCTCGCCTTGGAAATGACCCTTTACCTTGGCTGTGCCTGAGAGGGAGCCCGGAAACTCACCCTTAAGCCTCTTATCTGCAGGGGGTAGAGGAACATCTCCTGGTAGCAAAAGACAGGTCTTTCCCCCAAATTTAATTCCCAGAAAGTGTCTTCCATGGGCTTCCCCCTGAGTGCAAGGCCAGGCCCTCAGAATCAGGCTGAGCAAAGACAGGGAGGAACGAGGGCGCACTGTCATGGATAAGTTGAGTCTCAGAAGGGGCGTGTGATTACCTCAATGTCATGCAACCAGCTAGCGGCAAAACGAACCCACACTGCGACCCCCAAACCCCAGACCCAACTTGCACGTCATTCCAACTCATGGTGACCCCACGTGTTAACAGAATACAATTGATCCCTAGGGCTTTCCTGACTCTAATCTGTATGGTAACGGATGACAAATCTTTCTTCCATAGCCCTGATGTGTGGGTTCGAGCCACCAACCGTTAGGTTGGTACTTGAACTCAAAAAGGTCGTGCCATCCACTGACCACCCATTACTTCATCCTACTGTCTTAGCACGTGTCTAGCTTGTTTATTTGACCTATCTAGAACAGTTCCGGAGCCCTGAAACCAAACCAACACCCCAGAGCCTTACCTTTAAAGAAAATATGGTTCACCAGGACTATGGCCGTGTTACGATCAAGGCCTTGGATCAAGTCCACAATTTTCCCTCTGGTTTCCTTCTCCACATAGTGATTGATACGCTTCTGGGCCCCAGAGAGGTTGGAGAAATCTGTAGGAAAGACTTTAGACTCATACAGCCTCTGGGTGTTGCTCAAGAATTGAGTCTGTACCTGTAGCTCCTTTTTGACGAAGAGTGCGTTGCCATGTTCAATTCCAGGTCTTTGCTGGAGATATTAAGAGAACAGACAAGCAGTTGGAAACCCCGGTGGATGCTGGATTCTGGGGTCTTCTTGAGGTTGAAGCCCAGGCCTTGGAGAATCTGGGTCTTGGTGTCAGATCTGGCCCCCAGGGAGAGCATGGCCAGGGCCGTCGAGATAGTCACAGGAGAGAAGAAGATGTTCTGATGTGGGTCCTTCAAGGCCAGCCTCCTGTACAGGCGGAAGGCAAAGTCGATGTTGCTGGAGGACACTGGAGCAGTGGGCATCTTCCTCATGGAAGAAGGGCAGGCGGATCCCCTGCCTGGGGGACTGGACAGGAGCTCACAACACATTGGAGCGCAGAGGCCAACCACTACAAGAACTCGGCAAAATGACCAAAATGTCATTTCGGAAGAGAGACGTCTGCAAGAGAGGAGAGAGCCATTGAAAGGATGTAAACTGAGGGTCTAGACCCAGAATCACATCTGGTCCAATAAAATATCGTTCCCTTTACATTCGTTTGGTGATCGCAGAGAGGTTGTTGGGAACAAAGAGGTTGTGACCGATCACCTCCCTTAGCAATAAAAACCATCTATTGTCATCAGAGCCATGCTGACGACATTCGTGAGGACCACACGCAAGGCAGAATGGACCAGTGCTCCCTTGAGCTATCCATCGCTGTGATCTTGTGGGAGCTGACCCCAGGCCTCTCCTCCCGGCGACTCTGGGGTCCCAGGCACCGAGTGTTCAGTTAGTATCTAGCACTCCCCACGGGAACCTCGCAGAGACTCCCAGTGAACAATCAGTAATGACACACACCATAGTGGGCAGGGCATATTCTTGGGTGGTGCCTCGGTCGATCCTCGCAATAACCCCACAAGGCAGGGCGTATGGCTGCCCTTGTTTGAGCCTTAAAGAGCCTTTGCCCCTTAATTCAGGTCACACAGCTAGTCTGGAAGACTTCATTTGCTTTAACACCTCTTTGCAGAGGAGCTTCAACTTTATGGATCAACTCCAAGTTAGAGTAGGAAGCAGGCCGATTCCTCCCTGGTGAGCGTGCACAGAGTGGTGGGAAGATGGTACAATCTCACACAGGGTGGCATGGGATTCAGGCAGAGGCAAGGGGAAAGGACAAGCAGGTGGGTGCCCCAGGGGTCACATCTGTCTGAGGGCTTCTCTTCAACATCCCCTCCCAGAGGACCTGGTGACCTTTGACTCCATGACCCCTGGTTACAGCTCCATGTCTTCAGAACCACCTGCTGTCCACGTGAACCCATTCTCCCCACCAGGGCACTCAGGCACGGACTCTTCCTCTAGTTGAGAAAAAGGAGACTGGCCTATTATAAGTGCAATCCAACCAACAAAGGAAGCAATTATTTGACCAGAACTGGGGAAGGAGAAGACCCTTTGCCCGGGGTCACGGAAATATGGGCATACACGGTCACTTATCGATGTCGGATGTGTGGCAGCCACGCTCCCAACAACCTTTTTCTGATCACTGAGCGTCTGTAGCCAAATACAGCTTTACCGGACCGGAGAGGATTAGAATGGCAAGGAGCTACGTGAGGGATCTTTTGTACAGAATGAATAATGCTTTGGCCAAACTGCTCATTCCTCTCATTTCCCTGCATCCATTTGATGGCGGGTGCATTGAGTTTGTGTGGAGCGCATGCCCAGGGAGATTTGAGATTGATCAGATTGCAAGCATTGTTTGGTCGTTTTGTGTTTATATTTTTGTCTACTGTGGACTATCCTCTCTCAGCTGGACGACTCGTCCCTATCCACCCATACACTGCACCCTTTCCCAATATGTCCTACGTGGACCTCATAGGCTGCCCCCTGCCTGAGCCTGCTCCTTCTTTTCCTTCTCCAGCGCGCCCACCTGGCCATGCTGCCCCCTCAGTCAAAAAGCTGGCCATCACCGCACCCTTCATCACCCTCCTCCCCAAGGCCCAAAACTTAGCATTCTTCCTCCAGCAATTGTTCCAAGCGCCGCCTTCCCTCCATCCACGCGTCCTCCCTATGAGCCAGACCCTCACTGTCCCTTCTCTGGGCAGTCTGAAAGGACACAAAGTCAGCTCTCTGCCTCCAGTGTCATTTCTTTTCTCTTTTTTTTGATAATGAAGTTTATTTATGTACTTTTAAGTTTCATTTTATTTATTTATTTTTTAATAGTTTTATTAGGGGCTCATACAACTCTTATCATAACCCATACATACATCAATTGTGTAAAGCATATTTGTACATTCATTGCCCTCATCATTCTCAAAACATTTCCTCTCCACTTAAGCCCCTGGCATCAGGTCCTCATTTTTCCCCTCCCTCCCCGCTCCCCCCTTCCTGATGAGCCCTTGAAAATTTATAAATTATTATTTTGCCATATCTTGCACTGTCTGACGTCTCCCTTCACCCACTTTTCTGTTGTCCATCCCCCAGGGAAGAGGTCACATGTAGATCCTTGTAATCGGTGCCGCTTTTCCAACCCACTCTCCCTCAATGCTTCCAGTATCACCACTCACACCACTGGTCCTGAAGGGATCATTTGCCCTGGATTTCCTGTGTTTCCAGTTCCTATCTGTACCAGTGTACATCCTCTGGTCTAGCCAGACTTGCAAGGTAGAATTCAGATCATGATAGTGGGGGCGGGGAGGAAGCATTTAGGAACTAGAGGAAAGTTGTATTTTTCGTCGTTGCTACATCGCACGCTGACTGGCGTGTCTCCTCCCCGAGACCCTTCTGTAAGGGGATCTCCAGTGGGCTACAAATGGGCTTTGGGTCTCCACCGGGCACTCCCCGCCTCATTTGCTACGGTAAGATTTTTTGTTCTGATGATGCCTGATATGTCAGATATTGAGGTCTCCTTGGTGCATGGGACACTGCTATGGAGCAGAGACTTGGCAAGGTCAGTCCTCCAGCTGGCATCGGCCACCCACATCATGCCTACATGGGACAGGCCTTCTAAGTTCACTTCTCTCTCATGTCGTAGTCAAGAGACTCCTTCCATCTCGATCAGGAACAGATATCAAAGTGGGATTGGGCAGGTGCCCTCTGGTGCCCACACACACGTGTGCAGGAAACAGATTACTACTGTGTGCCTGTATCAGGGGGAAGTCTTCTCTGGGAAGGAGAGGAACTGCGAACGAAAGGGTGACCCAGTTCTCACTGTCCTTACCAGAAAGTGTTCGGGGCCCAAGGTGTTTGGGGCCGAGGCAGCCCGGATGGGAGGCTTAGAGAATGACTCTTATCTCAGAGGGATACTCTCGGATCACCGCGCTGGACTCCACCAAGCTGACCTCTCAAGGGCTGCCCACAGTGGACAGAGTGAAACTCTCTCTATAGCACACACCCAGAGCACCCGGATGCTGCCGGGTTATGCATTGGGCTACAACGTCAGCAGTTCAAAAGCACCCGCCCTTCCTCGGGAGACAGCCGGGGCTTTCTACCTCCACACAGAGCCACAGTCTCGGGAACTCAGAGGGCCAGTTCCACCCTTCCTATGGGGCCACGATGGGTCTGCGTCCACTCGATGGCAGTGAGTTGCATTTGAGTTGTGCACCTGCCCAGGGAGATTTGAGTATTTCTTCTCGCTTTGACCCATAACCCACCGGGATGCCCCACCTGCAGTCCAACATGAGCAAGAGGATTTATTTGCTCATGGTTGACCTCAGCCTCATTCTAGCACAACCCCTCACCAACACCTCAATGCTGGGAAGGGCTGAAGCTTCTCCTGAGAGGCCCCCTCCCCTTGCTCATGGAAAACCCCATCTTCCTCACTCTTGCAAAATGCCCTGCTCCTTTTCCTATGGCTCTCTCACTCACCCAACCCAAATGGCTTCAGGGACTGGATAGCGTGGGTTCCCTCAGTTCACCTCCCTTCCCCTCTTGCATTGGCCTCATTCCCCAGCTCTCTTGTTCAACAGTGTCGCTTCACCCAGCGCCCTACATTTCTTGGGGACTTGTGACACATATCCTTTGGGAAAGATCCCAGCCCTGGAAGAACACAAACACCTGCACCCTTCTGCTACGTGCCGCTTTGGCTAGTGACTCACAAGACAGCTTGGTTCCCTATAAATCATTTGTCATGACTCTTTGTTGAATTGGGCAGATCTGCTGCACACATGTTCAAAAAGCAGGGGTGTCACTGTGAGGACAGAGGTATGCCTGGCTCCCACTCCGGGATTTCCCCATCACCTCACGCATGGGAAAGTTGGACAATCCATCAGGAAGACCACAGAAGGGTAGATGTCTGTGAATTATGGTGCTGGCGAAGAATGGCGAAAGTCCCACGGGCAGCCTGAAGAACAAACACATCCATGTCGGAGGAAGCACAACCAGAGTGCTCTTTAGACGCACGGGTGGCGAGAGGCACTTTGTGTTGTCGGGAGAGACCAGTGCCTGGGAAAGGACTTCACGCTCGGGAAAGCCGAGGGCCAGCAGACGAGAGGAAGGGCCTCCACGAGATGGGTGGACACAGTGGCCGCAACCGTGGGCTCCAACATCCCGGCAACAGTGAGGATGGCAGGGCACTGGGTGGCTCTTTGTTCGGGTGTCCATTGGGCCGCTTTGAGTCAGCGCTGACTTGACAGCCACAACACTAACCTTTGTTGCAGGAGCTCGGTGGCACCGAGGTGACCCAATCCGCTGCTGAACGAAAGGCTGACAATTATAACCCCCTCCATGCGCTGCAGGACGGGGATGACGCGGTCTGCTTCTGTGAACAACGACGTATAGGAAGCATTCTGGGACCGTTCTACTCGACCTAGGGTCTCCATGACTCAGAGTCACCTGGACAGGAATAGGGTTTCTTTTCTTTTTTTTGATAACATGAGTTTTATTTTTATTTTTTTATTTATTTTATTTTTTAACATTTTATTAGGGGCTCATACAACTGTTATCCCAATCCATACACACATCAATTGTGTAAAGCGCATTTGTACATTCATTGCCCCATCGTTTCTCAAAACATTTTCTCTCCATTTAAACCCCCGACATTAGGTCCTCATTTTTCCCCTCCCTCCCGGCTCCCCCCTCCCAGGGTTTCTTGACTGTTCTGTTTTTAACCTTCATCTGGCAAGCAACACCACTAGATATCACCAATCGACTCACTTCCCTATTATTATTTTTACGTTACATAGTGCAGCGGATGACGGTTGAAGGAGCAGATCATTCATTTACACTCAACATTTCATACATGGTTTGTTTCACTGCCCTCCCCGCGCTGTACCGTCGTCTGCTCCACGTCCTCCCC